ATGCTATTATGCAAGCCTTAAGGCATTGACGGCATTACCTGATTCAAAGGGAATTTATTTTGTTCTCAGGTCACGAAGCATTGAAGTATATTAATGGGCAACATAAACTAAATTAGTGGCATGCTCGAGGGGTATCCTATTTGCAGGAGTTCACTTTTGCTATTCGGCATAAGGCAGGTAGTCAGAACATAGTGGCAAACGCTTGGAGTAGAAGTCGACTCTATTAACTACCATGGCAACTGTTATTACTGGGTTCGAGTTTATGAAGGATCTTTATGATAATGACTTGAGGAAGATATGCGACCAGTGTTGCAGTGGAGTTGTTGGGGATTTTATTATTCAAGATGGATTTCTCTTCAAAGGAAACTGCCTTTGTATTCCGACAGGTTCCCTTAGAGAAACCCTAATAGCAGATCTTCATGGGGGACATCTTGGTGGACATTTTGGTCGAGACAAACCATAATATTGATGGAGTCTAAGTACTACTGGCCAAAATTAAAGAGAGATGTTAAGCAGTTCGTTGAGAGGAGTCATACATATCAACTGGCTAAGGGGCAATGACAAAATACCAGACTTTATTCTCCACTTCCTATTCCTAATGCACCTTGGGAGGATGTTAGCATGGACTTTATTTTGGGACTTCCAAGGACTCAAAGAGTTATGGATTCTATATTCGTGGTGGTGGATAGATTCTCAAAGATGGCTCATTTTATAACTTGAAAGAAGACTCTGGATGCCACACATGTTGTTAACTTGTACTTCAAAGAGGTGCTGAGGTTGCATGGTGTTCTAAAGACGATAACTTTAGATTGGGACACAAAGTTTCTCAGCCATTTTTGGGGAACTTTGTGGAAGAAGGTGAGCACTCAGTTACAGTTTAGTAGCGCTTATCATCCGCAGACAGACGACCAGACTGAAGTGGTAAACCGTACCCTTGGCAATCTTTTGAGAAGTATTGTGAGGGAAAAGAACAAACAATGGAACCTAGCACTGCCTCAAGCTGAATTTGCCTAAAATAGTGTTTGCAATAGATCTACTGGTAAGAGTCCTTTCGAGGTGGTATATGGGAAAAACCCTATACATTCGCTTGACTTGGTTCCTGCCCAGGTAAATGGGGAGGGTCATGTGATTATTGAGGACTTGGTTGAACAAATGAAAGGAATGCATGAACAAGTGCACCCTAGTCTAGAAGCCAATACAGCCAAACACAAGGAAGCAGTAAACAAGCATCGTCGTTTCAAGGAGTTTAATGTCGGAGACTAAGTAATGGTGTATCTCAGGAAGGAATGACATCTAGTGGAAAATACAGCAAGCTGAATGATCGCAAGGCAGGACCATTCAAGATTTTGAAGAATATGGGCAGCAATGCTTACAAGGTCGCTTTACCTTCACACATAGAGACTTCAGACATATTCAACATTGTTGATCTGTCAAAGTATCATGGTATGGAGGTGCATGAAGATGAAGATGTGAACTCGAGGGTCAGTTCTCCTCAACCCAGGGAGAATGATAGAGATCAAAGCCATGAGTATCTTCTATGGGAGCGACACATTCCTCCTAATTTTCACTCATATTTAGAGGATGAAAACCCTATGAAGGGTTCCAAGAAGAACAAGACGAGCAAAAAATAGTCTTGGTTTTTTTTAGTTTCTAAGGCTATTTTGGATGTTTTTTATTTAGGGAAAATATCTCCTTATCCCCTATTTTGACTTTTATAACTCATGAGACCCAAGGATTGAAAATATTACATGTAAACAAAAGGCCTCCATTAACCCCTTGGACCCCTTTGACCATGAATTTTTTACCCAAAAAAACACTAAAATGACACCCTCTCCAAATTTTTTTCATTTGCATGAACGTTCTCTCTCTCAAATCACCGTCTCTCTCTCAACTCCATCTCTCTCTCTCTCTCAAATCACCGTCTCTCTCTCAACTCCATCTCTCTCTCTAAAACCCAAAGTTGCAGAGAAGTTCCCCTCTTTCTAAAACCTAAAGCTCTGTGAAAGAGAGGTAAAGGAGGAGGAAACATGCATCTCTTCATCAGTGTTGAAAATGTCTACTTTCATTAGAGGGAGAAGCTACAGAGATTGTTGAGAGAGGATTTGGTTTGCATGAAGATTATCAACGCTTTGTTCTTGTAGGTGAAAAAGGCATGTGTAAGCTCGAGCTTTGTCCCCCTCTGAAGAAGAGGAGAGAAGGGCCTTCAATCCCTCTACTGTCTCAACACTATATTCTGCCATTAGAGGTGATGCAAGAGAGAGAAAGCAGCGCCTTGATGCTGCTTCGCCTACTTGAACCTAGTAGCGATAGACAGATACAGGGGAAAGGGCATAAAAAATGGAGGGAGACCGAGAGAGCAACAGGCACCAAAACAAAAGTGATATTTTACTACAACGGGAGTACAATGTTCATTTACTCCCTTGGATAAACCTGCTTTACTCCTCCGTCAAAAGACTTACCAAGTTGCAGAGAAGTTCCCTTCTCTACATCGTCACTCTCTCCTCTTTCTAAAGAGGGGAGATAATTTTTAGAGAGAGAGAGACGATGTAGAGAGGAACTTCTTTGCAACTTTGGGTTTTAAAGAGAGATGGAGTTGAGAGAGAAAGACAGTGATTTGAGAGAGAGAACGTTAACGAAAAAGAAAATTTTTTGGAGTTATTTTAGTGTTTCTTTGGGTCAAAAATTCATGGTCAACGGGATCCAGGGGATGGCAATATAGAAAAGATGGAGGCCCTTTGCTTACAAGTAATATTTTCAATCTTTGAGTCTCATGAGATATAGAAGTCAAAGAAAGGGGATAAGGAGATATTTTCCCTTTTATTTATTTATTTCATTGCTGGACCATTTAGGGACTTTTTAGATATTTTAATTAAAATTAGGGATTTTAGTTTCAAGTTATATTTAAGTTAGGACCTTTTGGTCAAAACTTAAATTGTATGGACAAATATTGTCCAAAACAATAATTTTTAATATAAATAAGGGCATGGATGGGCTAGAAAGCCATTCATGTATTCCTCTCTAAGGAAAGAAAGGCTTTGTCTTGTAAAAGAAGCCTAAGGATTGAGCCCTAGGTGGGAGTAAACCCTAGAGTTTCTCCAAATTGTGTGCTTCTTGTTGATTTTTCTTGGTTTCTTCAAGTTCTCCTACATCACATTTATCGGACCAGCAAAGAGGAGATAATATGAAGATTTGAGGAGGAGTTTATCGAGGAGTCTAGGGTTCGAATAGGGAAATTTTAGGGCAGTAGAGTAGGGGTGTAGGTTAGAAGGTTGGGGGGTGAGGATAATTTGGAATTGGAGGCTAAAGAATTGGAAAAACTTACAAGGATTTCTACTGTGATGGGGCAGCGTAGGAGACAAGTGGGAAGGGGCAGAGAAGAAAGAAGACGGCTCCAAAGATGCATGCCATCAGAACCATGCACAATTAGAAGTTCCTTGGCTTTGTTTAGCATAAAAATAAGCAAGACTAAGGATTCATGGAATCAACACCATAAAATGAGGCATCACCTCATAATGAATCGAATCTAGCAAGAAAAAGCAAACTTCATTCTCAACTAAATCAACTCTGGCCATAGTTCTGCATCTGCATATATAGAGTTTCAAGATGCCTAATCCTACCCTGGCATAGACTCCAATTAATCCTAGACTTGCCTAACAAACCAACTTCCAAAACTTAGGAACTACGTAACCTTTACATATACGAAATCATGCATCCTATTACAAAAAAAGTATTCTTACAAAGAGGAAGTAGACGCCATCAACCATTATGAGGAAACTACAGATCTTATTTCGAGGTAGAACCTAAAAAACTTTGTCCCTTCATAAAATCAGTAAAATGCATATTAATTAATTTTTAAATACAATTTTTTACACTTAATTTTCTAGGTAGACTTTCAAACATGATGAGAAGCTAGAAGAACTCGGGCCGGGGAAAATCCATAGAATTAAGAGTCATGGAACTCTATACTACTTCTATAAAGTCAACTATTTCTCACTAAAAAAAAAAGAGAAACAAAGAATCATAGAACTTGAAGAGAGACCAATGATTTGGGATTTGGATCACCCCAAGCAGGAAAACAGGTGAAAAGTTATGCCTTCGAGAAGCAGCCAACACCAACAACTGGATAGAACCAAATCTCGATCACCCACACAAGAAATTTACTATGTAAACCTGCAAGTTGATATATGTGAAACATCTAAGGTGCTTCAAATCAAGCCTTGACCTGAATAGTACACTGCTTTGCTCTAATAACAAGCTGGACATGGGATCCATTAGTGGGATGATTTAACAAGCTCAACCCCAAGAGGTGCATATCAATTCATAACAAGGATGTGTTCAAAAAGGGAGGCCCTAATAATTAACTTATATTAATCAATTAAAAGACTCAAATGCTTGACACCAATATTTCAAGAACACTCGAACACAACCAAATAATATAAGAATGTTTAGGTGTTTCCACTGCTCATTAATCAAATAACCAAAAGGGAATAATACCCTAGGTGATCTCACTCTCAATGAAAACCAACCTTTAGTCCATCAAAAAAATTCGGAAAACCAGGAAGATGCTGAGGTCAGAAAGTGGACAAACATCCCAAAAACTAACATTCAGTATGACGGGCCAATATGTTATGAATATTAATCAACCTAGTGATAATAATAGAAATTAGTTACATTTTGACTTTTTAAGAAATACTAGGCCAAATTTTTAACTAGCCTGCTGACATAACAGAGTCACCTATTCTCCAAAAGAAGAAAAAGGTCATTTGTCAGCCAACAGGTGGTACAGAGCTCTATGTCTCAACCACCTAGTTGCACATACCCATGCCTTTCCAATCGCTTACCCAGTGGAAAAGGAGAAAAATAAATTTATTCCAGGAAAGCTAGATCTATTTATAGATGGCTTAGTACTCCCAAAATATGCTGAAAACAACTATGCAGAAAATATTTTAGAGGATATACTCAAAACAGCTAGCTTAAAATTGCGAAGAAGAGGAGCATACACTTTCTCGTTGATCACTAGAGCTAATTTTGGCATCTGACAGCTGACCACCTGAATCTTCATTTCCTTGCTCGTTCAAAAGGCGATTCTGCTTAAGTGTTTCATTCATTGCCCTTACAGCTCTGCACGTCACAAACTAGAAAATTAAGTGAAACAAGATCTCATATAAGTGGATAACATCAAGTGATGCAATCATACAAACAAGCATTTAAGATTTGTCTAATACCAAAAGTTTTTAGAGGACATATGTACTAAACTTACCTAGAAGCCTGTAATGTTAAAGCTATTAACTTACAACATTTAACCAAGTCAAAAAGCTATGGAAAAAGGTCAAACAAAAACCTTTCTTAAGCGGTTTCAACACATACTTCTCTAAAAGAAGAATGTTACTAAACATATGGAGAACTCCCGAAAGGTTTTTGGATCTCTTTTGCTTATTTTGAGAAGATAAAAACCCTGGGTTCTCTAAAAACGTCCCTAGCAACCTTCTACCATCTATTGCAACGGACATAAGAGGGATGACTTTGTCTCTAAAAAACCCAAAGCTCCAAGCATGATTCACTAATGAATGAATGAAAGAAAGATGGTCAACTCTAACCTGACAGAGAGCCAAGCGAAGTAAAATGGAATAAAAATAGAAAAGAAGTGATGTAAATATCACTATCTTGAAACAGTATCAATTGAGCAGTGGTCTTAACATGGCTCTTTTTCGAATGAAATTCCTCGCTTCGCAGAGGCATTGGTATGACTTTCTTTTTCAATATCACTATGTAAAATGGACTTCTTTAATATTAATAAGTGGAAACTAGAGGAGCTAAACTGATTTACTGGGCCCTCGACCATCCTAGATCCCATTAATGTGAATGAAAGATACCTTTCAAGATGAGCGGCCGGTGAATACAGAAAACAATGATGGAGTGCTGAATGGCTTTAACAGTGAATAAAAACTCATTTTGGACACAAGAAACCTCATCCTAGTCAGATGGAGTAGTCAAGTGGGAAAGTTTTATATATTAAAAACTCAGGTTATATCCAAGTTTTTCCTTAAATATAATGTTCTATCTCATTTTGACTATCGGGTGTCATCTTACACTGTACTACATCGCGGTATAACTTAGGCGAAGTGCTAGATTAATTCCTACGATGGACACCTTGTTCTTTTAGTAGTTCAAACAAAAATTTGAAAAACTAGCTGACTGAGTTAGTTGCCAAGTTCAAGTGCACGCTGGATTTAAGCAAGCTGACAGGTAAGTATAGATTAAAGGTTCATCACAAAAGTGCTAGGTGATAGATGGAAAGTAATGTTGCTGGATTTCTCTCGGTTGCTTACAAACATTTTTCATACTCAAATATCAGAAGGCCACTCTAGTAAGATTAGGTTTGGAAAGGTAGTGGGATTGAGTTAACGAACCAAATGCCAAGTTGGATGATGCAGTGGAAGACACTCATATAATTGAGTAAGTCAAGGATAGAGGCATAAAGAATTTCAAACATAACCTTATAAAAAGGATACCTATTAAACTAATGGGATGAAAATCATTTATACCCTTGGGTCCCTTGATTTTGGGAGTGAGGGTGATGAAGGCTGTGCACATCCCAGTGCTGATTTGGATGATTTCCCTTTATCATTGAAGAAATCCAGGAAAGATTTCATCTCTACCAAGGGCAATCACAGCCACGTGAATAATGTACCAAAATTTGTTGTGTTTTTGTGAACTTCCTTAGTGACATAGAAAACCAAGAAGATAAAAATTCTCACTCAAGCATTAAAAGGAAATATACAGACAAGTGCGCTATTTGTAGTGAGATAGGGAAATGCACAAGTTTCTTGGATATAAGGATTTTTATCCCCACTACCCACTCTAAAGTATAATCAAAGTGCCTTTTAAAATCGCCAATAATCATATTTCAGGAGTGAACAGATAAAAGTGAGATTGAATGTCACTTTATCAAGGAAGGTTATGTAAGTTATGACCATAATTACCCAGAACGGGAGCCGGAGGAGATCTGGGATCGGGAGTGGCAGCGTGGAGCGAGGTAGGCTCAAAGTTCCACAATCAGGGGAATGAGATCCGTACATGGCTAAGGAAGGGGATCAAGATCCCTGACTTTCAGGGAGCACGTTGCATATCTACTCAGAAGCGAGTTTCTTACTAAATGGGATCTCATTCTGCAGCTATTAGGATCGAGGTCCTTGAAGTTCACTTTCTCCTATATTGGAATGTGGGAGTGAATTCCAATGAATAATATGTTCAACTTTTTTCCAAATTCACAAATCCAAGACTGTTGCGATACATTGTTTACGAAAAAATAAATATGGTGATAGGCTATGATCTCCTTTGCAAATCAAAAAAAAAAAGGGAAAGACATTGCCGTATATAATTTTTCCAATGGCTCTCCAAGTTACCCATAAGGCAACCCACGACTAGCTCGCATAGGTTTACCAACACTTGAGCGATAGAAGTCCTTCAGGAGGTGGACATGACCCAATGAACTAACCCCAAGGAAGTTAAGCGTATTGACCAGAACCTCACTTCTCAATATAACCGCGAAGCGACTAACTATTGTACCTCCTTCCACCTTCCTCCTCTCTCCTAGCCCACTGTTGTTGCCTTTCTTTGAAATTAGACGCAAGTCACATTTGAAAAGGTGTGCATAGGTTTGTACTGCATAGTACGTAGGACATTATGGCATTCAGAACGTTTTCAGGTCATAAAAAATTGGAAATCCACACTCCATTGTATACGAACCACAAAACTTTGCTGGTGAAACTCGCTCCCAAAGTATAGGATACTCGGTTCCGAGTTGGTGGAATCATGGTTCCGCTTGATCATAGAACCATGCTTTCTGGAATGGGGATCTAGTTCCCATTTACATGGAATCAAGTTCCTCAATTTCCTGAATCGAATTCCAAGTATTAAGTAATCGCTTGGAATCAAGACCATGTGTCACAGAGTACGGGATCGAGCTAATGGAGCGGAAGAGGACCCTTAGAATGTTCAGTATAGTTATATATTTAGTATAGTGAGCGTTCCCCTTTCCATGGTACTTTGATAAGTAACATTCTCACCCCAAGTGAAATCATCGGCTGCATGTTCACACACATATAGAGAAGCCAATGAGATGAAAAATGGCCTTGCTGAGGAATGAGAGGGATTGAGTTCCTTACATGTGCCTATAACTTCTCTCCTTAGTCCTCCACTATATCCCATTTCCCCTTTTGCTTTCTTCTTGATGTCTATGTCGCTGTTTTTATGTACTCTTTTATATGCAACTTGATGTACACATAATCCCTACTAAGAGAATGTTACTTATCAAAAAATGGACAAAGGTGAAAAAAATAAAAAGGGGGGGGGGGTTAGGTTAGGGCAATTCTTCCTCTCCCTTGCATACCTTCAGAAAGCCCAAGATGCAAACATCTTCCCAATTTTCCATGACATGGAGCACACGTTCAAATATATACTGTCAGCAAACTGATGCTAAACCCACGTTCACACCACTAATATGTATGAAATTCATAGTTCTATATTTTTACAAGCATGTGACTATAGTATTTCAGCCAAATAGGACATGTAGTCATCATGCGTCAAGGACGTTATGACATACCCATGTACTTCACATCATTCTTTTCACTCTATGGAGGACACAAGTGTCATTTCAAATATTCATGAAGGTATTGTGCTCACATGTAATACTGTGGTCAATTCATACAATGGGGTACAAAGGACAAATATAAACTGTGCGTGGAGAATAAAGAACCCAGTATCTTTGGAGAATCAAGATGAAGAGGCGAAACCATTCTCTAAACAGGTATTGATGTTCAACGAGAAAATGGGGAAGATTGTATTTGAGTAAGATAATGGGAAAATGTATCTTTGTCTCATATAACTTGATTAATTCAAGAAATTCCATCTCTCAGGTCCTTGAGTCTTGTTTCAACATTTTTCAGGGGTTCAGTTATATTTCTCTAGAGCTCCCAAAGGAAACCAGTTTCCTTATTATTATGACTTATATTTTGACAATAGTTGGGATTTTTAGGATGCAAACAAGACACAAGTTTTCCAACATTGTTCAACGACTCATGAATAACAAGTTTGTAGTTCTGCATGCTTTATTCTACTTAAAACCAAGTTCTGAGATTAGTCCCTCTAATACAATGTCAATATAGTAAAAAAAAATACATGAAATTCTGACCACATTTCACTGATGAACTGTGACATCTACACACTACACACAGTCTAACAGGTAACAATGGCCAAGACATTGCCTGACATATATGAAATGCCTGAACATATATGAGGTCATATGAAAAAGGAGATTATATATGTACATATGATCAAAACACATGAAAAACACATGAACAGAACAACCAGAAACAATCCAGAAGTTTCATAAACACGCAGAAGCCAACATAAATGGGTAAAGCATCCCCGAACAACTACAGCTCAGAAAATAACAAAATGTACTAGAATTAGAAGAAAAAAAAAATCTCCACATATAATCATGAGCTCTCCTCTCACACATTATCCCAACAATAAGCATACCTAGTAGAAAGAGCAAGAATATTCCATATGCCAAACAAAGTTGACCACTAACTACAGATAGAATGAGAACAAATACACATGGTTTGGAGGAAATATCAACCTAACAATGTCATCACTGATCTCAGGAGTAATGCTAATACTTCGCCTTCTTATCCGTCGTGCATCTGATGTTGATGCTCCATCAGACCTGAAAAAGTTGTCACATCAAGATGAAACATGTCTCTAGTCATAGTATTCAATCCAGAGTTATCAGAGATATGACCATTCTAAGAAACATTCCAAAGCAGTAATCAACAAAACTGAAAACACCATATCATAAGATATGACAAATTCTAAAAGTAGAAGTCTACAACCTAAAAGTTGTGATTCTATACATGTGGTATTAAGAAATGTGTTTAGCCAGGTTGATCAAAGATTTAGAAAGTAAAAGACAAAGAAAGTCATTGGCCAAAAATAGGTGAACATAGTAGTTTTCAAAAAACATAGGTCAACATAGTGTGACACAAAAACCAGAATTCATTGTACGAACTGATGACCAGACCAGGTAAAGAGTCAAAATTATTCACAAGTCTCCAGCACTAAGAAGGCCACAAAAGCACATCCACGCTCAATCATAATTTTAAATAGAACTTCAAAAAGCAGTGCACGCAAATGGTAGTGCCCAATCATGTGTTTTTGCCATTTCTTGCTATACCCATGTATCATCATCAATAAATATCTTTCACTGTCTAATATGATAGGTAATAACCATGCATAATGTGCAAAGAAACGAGATATAATTGAGTTACATGTACAAGAATTTTTAAAAGTATCTGCTTGCATCAGAAATCTCTTGGAGAAAACGAGAAGAAAAGAGCAGAATATTCCTGCATAAGGAACCAAGTGATGAAGGAAACAAAGAAAAAAAGGAGTTCAAGCAGTAAATACTAAATGGCATGGTAGAACGCATTGTCAGCAAGATTCTGAGCAAATAATGAAGACCATCAAGAAAAAAACAAGCAGAGGCCAACACATATAGTAATCCTCAGACTACAGCATTATGAATTTCTTCTCAAAACCTAAATACCCCAGGACTATCAAAAGATGCAACCTAACTCATGCTGAAGGACACTTTCTGTTATTTACACAATCAGTAGCTGATCAGAAAAAATGGAGACAGACAAATAACAAGGAGAGATTTTGACAACATGAAAACCCCTGACAAACAAACCCAAGCTTGAGTCTAGCTATTCATATAAAGAATAAGATTTGGTGTGAAGGGTGATATATAAGATTGACCTCAGACATGACAGAAAAACTGCTGACCTATTTGGATTAAAGAGGAACGGAACATCATGTACGATTTATGGACCAAAATATTGAAGATAGAAGCATCAGAGCTTCCAAACAAAAAAATTCCTTAAACTAATATTTTTACTTTCTAATAACTATGGCAAAGGTTTTATTTTTCACAATGTTTGAATTTACAATTCATCACAAACAACCAAATCTTTCAATATGCAGAAGCGACAGCAGGAGGGCATAAACATTATCAGGATCTTCGCTATAATGTAAAAATTGTAATTATGATTTGGACAGGTGTCCAGAGTACAGGCCTTACGAAGGTAAATGTGAGTGTAATTCAAAGGGAAAATGAAGAATAGTTAACTCCTTTTTATTTTGGGGGGTAGTTCAAGAGTTAGTAATAAGAAAAAACAATGGTTAAAGACAAAAAGCATCATGAATGGCTAATGATATTATTTTCTTTTGATGAGTAACAAGGTTAATAATCAAAGCACAAGTATACATCAAGTTGCACCACGCACAGACAAATAGAGACAAAATAACTAATCATCTCAAGGCCAACTAAAATAAGGTATGGGAAGAATCCATAACATGTTTGATGTTGTATGCGTTATGCCTGACTAGCTAGATTTGTTGTAGACCATGAAATATGGTAAATATGCTTGAAGCAAAGAGAGAATTTCAGGATTCATGGACGACAATAATCTGAAGTCTTCCGAGGACGAAATCTGCAGTTACTAATATAAGTGTCCCTCCTAGAGGTATCTAAAACATCACTCTTGTGTCAACCTATGAATGGCTGGCTACTGATGTGTTCCATGTATTTGAGAAAGGGGAAGTTGTTTAGTGTTCTTGGAGACTTTTGGAAATTGTAGGCTTAGCATGGTCAAGGATATTCATGCCGACTGATTTAAACTACTGACAAGTAGTCATGCTGAAGTATCATCCAAGGAGACTTGCTGCATATATTTACGTGGATCAGAATGGGACTCCTTAGCCCGACGCTTGGGAAACAATTAGAGGACCATGTATATCCATGTGCACAGAAGAAAGTTCAAGAGTAAATCAGTTTTGCCCCATACAATTATAATAAGTTACGGCCTGGGAATAAGGGATCTTTGGCGCGTCACACTAATTCCCAAACTGTTTTGGTAATGCGCTTTTTTTAAAGTCAGTACTGTTTTTTTGTTTAATGGATTATTATCCAAAAAAGAAAACGTATTTTAGTATGCAGTTTTAAAGGTAAAACAAAGATGTGCCAGAAATTACACCCTAATTGCTTTCCACATAATACTTGTTTTACCGAGGAAAACAATAGGAAAGAAAACCTAATATTCTTCCTCATGAAGAATATTCTAAGCAAAATGGGGATGGCAAGGCCAAAGCATCATACAGGAAAAGCACCATAGATACTTGCACATCATATTGCTCGGAGCTACATCATCTCCAAAAAAGTCTTATAATTCTCTCATTTAGAAAAGTCATAGGACAATAAGGGTCATTATTCTTATCTGATGAGCACCTTGATGAAGTGCTGCCATCCCCATCTTCCCCAAATGACTGTCGATGCCCACTGAGCATAGAACGACCCCGTGCTCTAAATAAAGGATGCTCTGGACTGTGGCATCACAATGAATCAGGTATAGATTTGATCAATTCTCAGCACAGCATAACATCAAATCAGATGGCAAGTAATACATCTAGGAGACAGTATTATAATACGAAAAATATGAGCAGTTACAAAATGTATGCCACCAATGAATAAAGCCATGAAATTAAAACCTTAAATCAGTTGAACTAAAATTAAATGAGAAATAGCACGATATTAGTAGAGACAATAATACATTCATCTAGGAGACTCTTGTAAGTATAGCTAAAAACAATAGAAAAATATGAGCAATCAGTCACTGAAGATCCAGGAAAATAAGTCCTGGTGCACAAAATAATACTTGCCAGAGAATAGCCTTTTATACCATATTCACAAAGTGATTGTACAACTTGCTGAAGAAGAGTAGCATGTGCTAAACTGAACATCATATCAGCATATGGAATTCTGAGTACCATGCTATAGGGATCAAATCAAATCGGAGGCCTGGGGCAGTACCATAGGTTTGTGACAAGCAGGATGCTACCAAGGATAGGATTATGGTCTGTACACTCACAAATTTAGGGATCTAGATCACAATACGTATGGGAGCGTGATCCAAACTTAATCCGCATCAAATGATAAATTCTACAGAACCAAGCCCCATCTGGCTAAAAATCAAGACCCCAAGAGCACTTAACTAGCATATACTACTATATATTATAATATTATAATATTATAATACTATTGTACATTATACTATTATACTATAATATACTAATCATCGTCAAAGCCTTTTTCTAACTAATTGGGGATACTATAATATACTATACGTAACTATACTTAAATCTATTATATACAACTCCTAGAAAAATAAAAAATTCTATTCTTTTTTTTAATTAATAATCTAAATTCTACTTACAAGTGCTACAAAACAATGTTGCAAACAATAAATAAAACTCTAAATACAACCTAGGATCTTCCCTTTTTACTGTCAAATAAATATGACTCAATCCAGGACTAAATACAAGCTTTAACTATAAATTATAATAATGTTCATAGAAATCACAATAAATTGAATAATACAGACTGAAAATAAACTAAAAACAGCTGGGAAGACTTACTTGACTTTGCTAGGATCACTCCCTTACGACTTCGTATACCCTACACCTAATTAAGGGACCGATGGCACACTCTTGCTCCTATTGGCCCTATTGAATTCTCTTAGTAGGAAAACTTCTTAGGCAATACCCTCTTCAGATTTTGGGATTTCAAGAGCATAAAACAAACTAGGGTTTTTCTAGACCCTTTTGGAACTATCAAGGGCATTCCACAAGTGGCACCTCCCTTGGTGGGCTGGGAATGGCCCTCTTATCTAACCTACAGTGGTGTGTCACCCCAAACTCTCAATGGTGGAGCATGCCACCCTATTGGGACGAGAGAGAGAGAGAGAGAAAGAGAGAGGACTATGGAGGGGAGAGGCCAAGAAATGTCAAATGGTAAGAATGAAGGGGGTCTACCCTCAATATATAACCTCTGAGAAGGTCTAGGACTTTCCTAGGTAATTTATGAGGTGAGAGAAACAAATCTGAGCCATCCATCCCTTGAATCAGTCATCATGACTTGGGGAGGAATCCAGGAACATTATCACCTGAATCCTTGACCCACATCCACTTCTAGTGAACCTAAGATAAGACCAATCAAAAACACATTTTCTATTTTGACTAGAACTTGTTGTTCTCACACAAAGAGATAGTAGGAATTCAAAGACAAAATGATTTGGTCAAAAATCAAAGAGTGAAAGAATATTTTAAATCGTAAATATCCTTTACTCTCACAAAATATGGACACAATCTTTTTTAGGATTTCATCAGATTTCTTTCTTTAATAAAACATCTTTTATTAAAAGACGTAATACTTAACAAAAATGAAATGACATGAGCGTTCTTCTTATGCTAGGATATGTGAGCTATGTGCGCCCCATGTCCCCCACCCATAGGTTGGGCCTTTGCTCCCCCCCCCCTCATGGGCACCCATAATGCCCTAGAGATTTTTTGGAATTACGCAAACACCCTTTCAAGGCTTTTAATAACTGAAAGTAATTTTAAAAATTCCTAAAATTTTCTAAAAGTCATAGAATCATTTCTTAAGTTGATAAAAACTTTCTCCAAACAATTGTTAGAGCACTGCAATGCATTAAGGAAAGTAACCGTTAGAGCACTACACCGAAAACAGTAACTATGGTTCTCGATTATCTGCTTAAACCAGCCTAACAAGACCCATAACCCACAATCTCATGCAGGGGCTCATGATTGGCTCGTCAAAGTTGGCCACTCAATAATGAAACTAAGGTCCTGGAATGTAGATTACAGGTTACCCCCTTAAGAGCAAGATGAGCGAACATATCACTATAGTGCACTAGGATTATCTGTCCACATGTACACATCCCTTTGTAGGGTTGCTATGCAATTGTCAGGTGTACATGCTATGTAGAAATTTGTTGAGGATTTAGACCTCATTCTCACATACCCAAATCTGCACATAAGAGGCACAAATCTCTCCTAGCTTACAAACCATTGCGATGCATCTCTCTAACCTCAACAAAGGATGACCCTCAAGCTAAAGGATTTAGACAAGATCAAGGTCATAGACTGCCCAACCTTAGGTCAGTCGACTATCAAACCCTAGGTCAATCAACTAGCACACACATTCACACTGAAGTGTATAATCTGTTATAATTCATTTTTTACACACTCTCACGAGCTTTAAATGCAAAAACAACCCCAACATTTCCCACTTGACCTTTGAAACTTCCCACTCTTTCTTAGTCTCATCCATTGTTTCAAAAAGCGCCAGGCGGGTCCTAGGCGGCCTGGGAGGTCCAGGCCGCTCAGCGCCTAAGAGGGTGCCCAAAACCTGGGCGGCCCAGTCGAATCCAAAAAGGATGCCTAGTCAAAGATGTTTCTAAGGACTCAAAATCTTCTAAAAAACCCCCCAATAGATTTATAAAACATCAAAAATTAAATCTAATATCAATGGGTGATGTTTTGATCAACTTTTGTCAACTTTGAAAAAAAAAAAAAATTAGCCTCTAGGGCGGGAAGCCCACCTAGGCGGGGCGCAGGCCCTGGGCGGTCGCCTTGGGCTGGGCGCTGGCGCCCTCCTAGGCGGGTTCCGTACCGCCTAGGGACTGCCGCCCAGATTGGCCACCTAGGCCTGGGCAATGCGCCCAAGCCTTCTGGACCACCTAGGCACTAGGAGGTCCGCTTTTTGAATCACTAGTCCCATCCCATGTACATGCCTGGCAGATACATTTGCTACCATTCCTTTTCTGATAGGATCGACTAACACAACCCTTTTGGGGAGATAAGCAATTTCAATCTCTGCTGCTCGGATCTCGTTGCGAATGTGGTAATTCTCTGTCTCAATGTACCTAGATTTCTTGTGAAATCGTAGCTCTTTGGCCACACAATTCGCTGCCTTCTTATCGCATAAGATCCTTACACACGATCACTTCACTAGTTCAAATATGAGTTGATTCAGGTACTTCTTCAACCAAACCACTTCTTTCACTACGAGACAATAAGTGACATACTTTGACTCCATAGTCGAGAGTGCAATGATGTCATGTTTCCTTGAGCACCAAAAAACAGCTCCACTGGTAAGTGTGAAGATATATTCGAATGTAGACTTCATCTCATCTGGATATCCCTAATAATTCACATCTGAGTATCCCAATATTTGTATGTTTGAGCCTCCTCCATAAGTGTATGCGAGATTAGCAGTTCCCTTCAAATACCGGAGAACTCTTTAATTGCCTTGCAATACTCCATGGCTGGATCGCCCTCGAACTTGATAATCATACTATTAGCAAATGAAAATTCCGGTGGTGTCCCTAACATGGCATACATCAGTGACCCAACACTGCAAGGAATTCTCTACATGGCCTCCTTTTCTTCTGAATTGTGGGACACATGGCTAGGCTTAGCTTGGTCTTCTTATCAATAAGGCTCAATATGGGATGATAGTTTTCCATTTCAAGTACTTTCTTGCAGTATGTCTTCTTAAATAACTAAATGGCTCTTTCTCTTCTAGTTCTGGTGATCTTGATTCCCTATACATATGAAGCCACTCCAAGATCTTTCATATCGAAGTGGTGACAAGAAAGCTTTTGATTCCAATACAAGAGTCATTGAACTATTAGCAAACAAGTGATCGACGTATAAAGAGATGATATTCATCATTCCCACTTACCTTAACTATATACAGTCCTCTTGGTTAGACACAAAACCAGCTTTCAATAAGAGTCTCCTAAAACTTGATGTACTATTGCCTCGATGCTTGCTTTAGGCCATAAAGGGATTTTTTAAGTTTATACACTAGATTTTTTTTTCCTTTTCCTATGAAGCCTTGTGGTTGTTCCATGTAGATTTCTTCTTATAACTCTCCATTTAGAAATGCAGTCTTAACATCCATTTGGCGGAATTCGAAGTTGAAATCGACTTCTATAGCTATGAGGATCTTGATGGATGGGAATTTAGCTATAGGGGAGAAGGTCTCATCATATTCTATATCTTCGTTTCTGGGTAAACCCCTTCACTACTAATCTAGCTCTATACGTTTTAAATTTCCCTTCCGAGTTCAGTTTCTTCTTAAAGATCCACTTGCAGCCTATGGGTTTCTCTCAGGAGGTAGGTTCACTAAGTCCCAAACTTGGTTCTGCTTGATTGAGTTAAGTTCATCATTCATGCTTTTGTCCCATTATGCCTTTTTTGGACAAGTAATCGCTTCTTGGTAGGAACTAGATTCGTGTAAGGATTCATCTTCAATTCTGTCAAAATATTCTCCTACGAAGGTGAAGAATTCAAGTCTTCTCCTAATTCGGTTACTTCTCCTAGAACGAAGTGGTTTGAGATCCTTGGCCTGACTCGTATCACTATCACATAGTAACTGGCTTGTTTACGAGTGGCATGTCCCTCAAGAAAGTCATTCTCAAGGAAATGGGCATCCCTACTTTCTAAGACAACATTATG